GCTGCTCTGGGGGATCCTCTACTCAGGTCGTTCCTAAGTCTCTACAGGAGGAGGGGAACCTCCTCTCCGCAGATCCTGTGAAAGTCTCTGCAAGTCTGTGCAGCTCTGGCAGAGAGGGTACCTCCTCTCTACAGCCAGTCTTCCCACTGTCCCTCCATCCTATGTCCTGCTGGCTGGCTGAGCCCAGGGCTTTTATGGCCCTCAAGGGGATGAAGTGTGTGCTGACTGGCCCATGGGCAGCCATGGGCGGGCCTGGAGGAGGAACCACAAGTTTCCACTCAGTTCCGTGGGACTGGCAGCCCGGCCCCCAGCTTTCAGTCCCTCCCCGGCCTGAAGGTGGGGCCTTACGGGGGACCCACCCCCATCTGCCCAGCAGTCAATCTGCCTCCCTCTGTCATTCATGACCCTGGGGCTCCGCCCCAAGCCCTACTCCAAGATCAATGCAGGGGCAGCAGCAGAGAGAGGCCAGCAGTAGGAGAAGACACCCCCGAGCGAAGGGGTGCGGTGGGGTCCTTCCTGGGGCCCACGAGGGTGCAGGCTGCAGACACCCTCCAGGTCCTGCACCTAGGAGGGCAGAGCTTGCCTGCTCCTGGCCCCCTCCAAAAGCGCAGGGAGGCTCGGACCCGCAGCCGCAGTTTGGGTTGTAGCCACGCCCAGGAGGGTGGGGCTCCTGCCCGCTCGGTAGAGGAGGGGGCCTGGGTCCGCCCCCGCAGTTTGGGCGGCTGCAGCAGCACCCGGGGACCTCTCGCCCCAGCTGAGAAGGGGCAAGGCGCCTACCGGCTCCGCGGAGCATGCAGCCCCAGCTATGCCTCCCTGCCGCAGCCCCGTGATGGCAGCAGCTACTGCCATCAATAATGTAAGCATTTTGCACTGTATCAAGGAGTAGCATGTGTGGCATGAAAGCTCTCTTCTGTGTTTATGTATTCTAATCACGCTAACATCCAGTTACCTCCACTCCCTAGAAGGTATTCTCTAACAATGCTATCGAAACCAGTTTCTACTCCATACGGATGCTTTTCTCAACAGCAATTTAAAGCTTTTTTCTTCCAAAAAACTCCCATTGTTCTGAGACAGGATTCATAGGTTTCATGAGATGCCTGAGATGTCCACAGTGTAAAAAAGGCCAATTATTCTAGCTTTCCAGTCCCAAAGCTAGGGTCATGCCAACAATCCCATGTGCCTGGCACTTTGGGGGAAGGGGGTGAAAGTAGGTACTTAATACATCCTTTTTGAATGAATGGTTTGGAGTTCTTATCATAATTATAGAATTATCAATCTGGAAAGTCTTTATTACGATGATTTTCAAAGTTTTTGGCCATGACTCATAGCAAGAAATGGATTTTCATTTGTGAACCAGTAACCGTTTTGGTGAAACAGTTTTTATAAAACATGATGTAACTTTACTACGTATGATGCATTGTTATATCTTCTATTCTACTTTTTTCTTAATGTATTCCATTTCTCTTTTTTGAGATGATTAATTGAATTTTTATCCAAAACAACTTGCTTCAATTGTAAATTAATAGCGGATTTGGGAGCAAGTAAACAGAAGGGGAAAGCCTCAGTATTTAGCCTAATTATTCTAAATTGAATTAACATTTAAAATTTAAAAAGCATAAAAGGAAGTGATGGTGTGCTTTTAGAAGAATTTGAAGGTAGGGTATTTATGGTTAATGCGTAGAAAAGAAAAAAATCCTCACATAAGTCCAGAGCACACAAATTAAAATTCTCTTAGTCATACAGTGGTGAGCACTTTCCACAGCCAAAATTTCACCATTCTTAAAGTGGGAGAGTTTCTTTTTTTTTATTATTTTATTTTATTTTATTTATTTATTTTTTTAAAGACAGGGTTTCACCATGTTGGTCAGGCTGGTCTTGAACTCCTGACCTCAGGTGATCCGCCCGCCTTGGCCTCCAAACTGCTTGGATTACAGGCGTGAGCCACCATGCCTGGCCAAAGTGGGAGAGTTTCAAAAATACTCCTTCATATTCAAAAGCTAAAAGGTAGAGTGAAGATGGCCCTATTATTTCAGTGTGGGAGACATTACATAATAATCAATCAATTTCCCAAACTATAAAACCCTGTAAATGTCACCAACAAAAGCAAAGCAGCAGACTGGTCAAAACCAAGACAACTGGTTATTCAGGAAGGCAGCAGGTCACTTAACCGCTAAAAGCCATTGCTTTGTCGTACCAATGTTAAGTCCTTTCCGCGCTTCGAGAACCGGCATCCAGCCAATGCAGGGTCAGTTTCTGTGTATGTAGCTCTGTGGAATGTACCTGAACACCAGTCAGCACTTAAGTCAATTTAAAGGGAATTCCCTCCAGTTTGAAAAGCAGCTCGCTGGCTTCATGATATAATTTGTACCTTCTTCCTTAGCTTCAGGGGCACATGCCCCCTGGTCCAATAGATCCAGAATGATTACAAGGATATCTTGACTTACAGGATATGCCACATAAGAATTTTGACAATTCAGTCTTGAAGTCTGCTCAGTTTCACCCAAACTTTTTTTTTTTTGAGACAGAGTCTTGCTTTGTCACCCAGGCTGGAGTGCAGTGGCATGATCTTGGCTCTCTGCAACCTCCACCTCCCGGGTTCAAGTGATTCTCCTGCCTCAGCCTCCTGAGTAGCTGGGACTACAGGTGCGCACCCCCACACCTAGCTGATTTTTGTATTTTTAGTAGAGACGGGGTTTCACCGTGTTGGCCAGTAACATGGAGAGGGTCCACCTGGGGCAGATGAAATTTCTATGGACAGAGATGTCACAGAGCTGGGAAGGAGGGAAATAGCTCTCCAGTCAATGTGAGTGAGAAAAATTAGTCATATCACTCTGAGACACGCCGACTGAGGGTTAAGGATGCTGGCGTGCAGGGAAGTTGTGTGCACAGCAGAAGAGCTGCAGTATGTCTTCTCCTTTGTGATAATGTGAGATTACCAAGGACCAGAGAATGGGTCTTAGGGCATGTGGGTGTATTTGCCAATTTCTGGCCACACACAGCCTCCTCAAAAAGCCCCCCAAAGATGGCCAGGTGCAGTGGCTCACACCTATAAATCCAGAACCTTGGGAGGCCGAGGCGGGTGGATCACCTGAGGTCAAGAGTTTAAGACCAGCCTGGCCAACATGGTGAAACCCCGTCTCTACCACAAATTAGTAGGGTGTGGTGGTGTGTGCCTGTAATCCCAGTTACTGGGGAGGCCAAGGCAGGAGAATAGCTTGAATCCGGGAGGCGGAGGTTGCAGTGAGCCAAGATTACATCACTGCACTCCAGCCTGGGTGACACAGTGAGATTCCGTCTCAAAAAAAAAAATCCCCCAACGATTAATTTCATCTAGTTGTAAGTGGTCTAACAGTCTTCTAAAATTACCATAGACCTCAAGATGATCCTAATAAACTATATCTTGTAAAGCATTATCTGCCAGAAAGAGATAGGCAGGACCCAGCAACTTCAACCGAGACCATACTTTACTACTATCACCTTCTACTACAATATCTTTGTCTGGGTGTGGTGGCTCACACCTGTAATCCCAGCACTTTGGGAGGCCAAGGCAGGTGGACATTTGAGATCAGGACTTTGAGACCAGCCTGGCTAACATGATGAAACCTCATCTCTACTAAAAATACAAAAATTAGCCAGGCATGGTGGTGTGTGCCTGTTATCCCAGCTACTCAGGAGGCTGAGGCAGGAGAATTGCTTGAACCTGGGAGGTGGTGGACGTTGCAGTGAGCTGAGATTGAGCCACTGCACTCCAGCTGGGGCAACAGAGTGAGATCAAGTGTGTATATATATATATATATATCTTTTAAACTTCAAAACTAGTTTTTTCAAAAAGTGTTTTTAGGGCGAGGGTCTCACTCTGTCACCCAGGCTAGAGTGCAGTGGCCCAATCATAGCTCACTGCAGCCTCAGACTCCTAGGCTCAATTCAAGTGATCCTCACCTCTGCGTCCTGAGTAGCTGGGTTTACACATGCACACCACTGCGTCTATAACTTTAAATTTTTTTGTAGAGATTGGGTCTCACTATGTTGTCCAGACTGGTCTTGAAATCCTGGCCTGAAGCAATCCTCCCAGCTTAGCCTCCCACAGTGCTGGGATTACAGGAGTGAGCCACCTCACCTGAGCTGCAAGGGCAGCCTCTTCATAATGGGGCATGGGCCTCTTCGGATCTCTTTTTGTTGTTCGAGGTGGAGTCTCGCTCCGTTGCCCAGGCTGGAGTGCAGTGGCATGATCTAGGCTCAGTGCAACTTCTGCCTCCTGGGTTCAAGCAATACTCCTGCCTCAGCCATCTGAGTCACTAGGATTACAAGCGCGTACCACCATGCCTGGCTAATTTTGTATTTGTTTTACTAGAGACGAAGTTTCACCATGTTGGCTAGGCTAGTTTCAAACTCCTGACCTCAAGTGTCCCACCCACCTTCCTTCCACTCCCAAAGTGCTAGGATTACAGGTGTGCGCCACTCCACCCGGCTCCATCTATTTTTTTTTTTTTTTTTTTTTTTTGAGATGGGATCTAACTCTGCCCCCCAGGCTGGAGTGCTGTGGTGTGATCACGGCTCAATGTAGCCTAAACCTCCAGGGCTCAAGCGATCCTCCTGCCTCAGCCTCCCAAGTAACGGGAACTGCAGGCACATGCTAATTGTTTTAATCTTTGTAGACACGAGGTCTTGCTATGATGCCTAAGCTGGTCTGGAAATCTTGAGCTCAAGCGATCCTCTCACCTGGGCTCCCAAAGTGCTGGCATTACAGGCTTAAGCCACCCCGCCCGGCCCTCAAAAAAAAAAAAAAAAATGCCAGTGACAACCTATTAAACTGATATCTGTCACGCTAATGGGTCATGACTAGTAGTTTGAAAGGCAAAGCTCGATTTCCCTGAATTTATTTTAGCAACAGAAGTCATCACCTTTGGTCCAATCTCAAGTACAAAATGAAACTGCAACACAAGCCCCTAACCCTGCAGCTGTCAGAAGCTAAACGTCTGCGCTTCCGGGAGCGTTGGGCGACCACGCCTCTGGGAGCAGGGCGTGGCTTCCCCCCTCCTCTCTCCGCCCACCCTCCTCCGTGTCTGCCCCGCGCCCCGCCTAGGGACGGCAGGGGCGCGGCGACACGCTCCACGCCTTGAGGGCGGGGCCGGCGTGATGCCCCGCCTTCCGTGAGCTCATCTTTGCGCGTCGCAGTCGCGCGGAGCCCGGCTTCCGACGTGCATCCTGGCAGTGCGGTGGTGAGTTAGAGCCCGCGGCGGTTGGGGATGGTGGCCTTTAGGGCCGCTGACGGCCCGGGCCAGAGGGCGGGTGAGCAAGGTTGGGTCCGAGGCTACCTGTAAGCAGGTCTGTTCAGGGACGCTCCAGGCCCTGGGACCCTAGGGTGGCTTCCATGATCCCATTTGCCCTGGCTGCCCCTCCGTACCGGGCCTGAGCGGAGAAGGGGAGGCCCGTAGGGGGCTTCCTTTTGCGTCCTGAGAATGTTCTGGACAGCACCGAGCTTAGGGCTGGTGTCTCTGCGGAAGAGATCATTTATCCGTGGGTGGGAGGACTGTATGAGCCGAAGTTTCCCAGTAATGGGCCACGCTGTCTTCTTAGGTAGCGTGCTGGACAGGTACAGAGGCTGGGTTCCTTTACCCGAAGTACCGTGCAATGCTGTGGGCTGTTGACTTGCCCGAGTAGTTCCATAGAGGCATCTGCAGTGTTCCTTGGAAACACTGAGCCAGGGATTAATTCTGTCTGGGAAAACTAGGGAAAAGTGTCCCGGAGAGAGAAGATGGCAAGAGAGGGCTGAGGTCTAAAGTCTCTTAGTTCTGACCTTCCTAAGACCCTGAAGTAAGAGGTAGTGTATCTTGGTTGCCTATGCTATAGCTTGTATCCATTCTTATTAGAAAAGTGGAACTGATCGTAAGAAAATAGTAGTTCCCCTATCTGAGGGCTGTGCATTCCAGGACCCCCAGTGGATGTCTGAAATCTTGGGTAGTACAGAACCCTGTGTATACAAAAGGACCCTGACTGACTTACTGTGGTTTGACTTAGAATTTTTCAGCTTTACATAGGTTTATTGGGAAGTACCCCCATTGTAAGTTGACGAGCATCTATACTGTGTTTTTTCTTTCTTTTTTATTATACTTTAAGTTCTGGGGTACACATGCAGATCGTGCAGGATTGTTACATAGGTATACACATGCTATGGTTGTTTGCTGCATCCATCCCCCCGTCACCTACATTAGGCATTTCTCCTAACGTTATCCCTCCCCTAGACCCCCCCACCCCCCAACAGGCCACAGTGTGTGATGTTCCCCTCCCTGTGTCCATGTGTTCTCATTGTTCAATACCCACTTATGAGTGAGAACATGCAGTGTTTGCTTTTCTGTTCCTGTGTCAGTCTGCTGAGAATGATGGTTTCCAGCTTCATCCATGTCCCTGCAAAGGACACGAACTCATGGCTTTTTATGGCTGCATAGTTAGTATTCCATGGTGTGTATGTGCCACATTTTCTTTATCCAGTCTATCATTGCTGGGCATTTGGGTTGGTTCCAGGTCTTTGCTACTGTGTTTTTTCTTATACAGGTTACACATACATACCTATGATATTTAGTTTAATTCGTAAATTAGGCACAGTAAGAGATTAACAGCAACAATAATAAAATAGAATTATGACAATATAATGTAATACAATTTATGTGAATGTAGTCTCTCTCAAAATAACTATGCTCACCTATTTTTAGACTACAGTTGACATTTGGAACTGTGGAAATCAAAACCTCAGCTAAAGTAGAACTACTGTACCTAGTAAGTAGGGTTATGAGGTTTCAGTGAGCTCATCTCAGTGTATGACTTCAAATAGGACTGGATTCATTGTACATCCTCAAGTGTGCACTCCTTGATAGAATGACACCCTTGTCTTGTGGAGCCTGGCTTTTTGGAAGTTGGCTTGGCTTACCGCAAGGATTCGTCCTTTATTTTGTTTCTGTCCGTTGCTAAATGTGAGGCCCAAAATGGTGGGGAAGAGGACAAGCATGTACTTCAGCAGGCAGAAGGCTCTGTGTAAGCAGAGGTTGAATACCATTCACATTGGCCCAACTGGCTTGAGCCCTTTCCTGTCTTTTCTGCCCTGGACAGAAAGAACCCTGTTCATGGGTCACAAATGAGTAAAGCTCTACCAACCTGTCTGGAATCCCAGCACTTTGGAAGGCCAAGGCAAGAGGATCACTTGAGGCCGGGAGTTCAATAGCAGCCTGGGCAACATAATGAGACCCTGTCTTTACAAAACCAAACCCAAAACAAAACGCTACCAGTGTGAGATCTTCATAGGCAAGGATTAGTTATAAATGGTTTGTTAGTTTGATTTTCTGTTATTGAAAAACCTTCAGCAGCTTTTTGGGCTGGCAAATTTAAAGAAAGTAGCCACAACCTGGATGCCTTAACTGTACGGTCCCTTAAACTGCCAGTGGGTAGAAGTGAGGGGCATGAACTTGGATGAGATGAAAATTGCATCTTTATGTTTCCTAATCTCCAAATGAAATTTAGCATTTTCTTCCACTATGAATGTAGGCCATAAATCACAGTATTAGCAGTGTGACTTTGTTAGGAATATAAATTACAGATATTTTCACATGATACTGTGCAAGCTCATCACAACTTTGAAATTATGGTAGTTACTAGATTTGCTTCTAGATCTCAATGTGTCAGTAAAGAAGCACATATGTTAGTTTTTGTACTTTGATAAAATTTTAGCATACAGTCTATCCTCATTATTTGTGGATTCTGTATTTATGAATTCACCTACTTGCTAAAATTTATATGTAGCCCCCAAATTAATACTGGCAGCGCTTTTGTGGTCTTTGGAAGACATGACACTTTTTCACATGGGGTGAAAAATTTCAGTCGTCTGATGCCCATGTTCTCAGCTGAAGTCAAACAAAGGTGGCACTGCCTTCTTGTCAGCTCTCATGTTGTAAGCAGATGTCATTTTCACTGTCTTTGGTGCCACGTTTTTCTCATCTTTGTGCTTTTTGTTGGCGATGCCACTGTTTGAGGTTGCACCAAGCATGGTACCAAAGTGCTTCTAAGCTCAAGAACGCTGTGATGTGTCTTATGGAGAAAATGTGTGTTAGATAAGCTTTGTTTAGCCATGAGATCAGGATTAATGAATTACTGATGTATATTCAGTAAGTGCCTTTAAACAGAAACACACATAAAACATGATTATGTATTGACTGGTTGACAAAAATGTACCCAGAGGCTTTCAGAAACCTGTTTCCCCAAGGAACAGTGGTTCTCTGTTGGATAATTTAGTGTTTGTAGCGACGTCATAGAACATAATTGTTGTGAATAATGAGAATCTCCTGTACTTGGTTTCATTTCTAATCCTGTGTATTTTCTGTGTTTAAAGACATTCTGAGCCTAAGTGTGGTGGCTTGCACCTGTAATCCCAGCACTTTGGGAGGCCAAGACAGGAGGATCTCTTGAGCTCAGGAGTTCAAGACCAGCCTAGGCAACATAGGGAGACCCCATCTCTACAAAAAATGAAAATAACCGGACGTGGTGGCACACACCTGTCGTCCTAGCCCGGACGTGGTGGCACACACCTGTCGTCCTAGCCACTCAGGGTCTGAGGTGGGAGGAACACTTGGCATGGGAGGTTGAAGCTGCAGTGAGCCATGATTGCACCACTGCACTCCAGTCTGGGCGATGAAGCAAAACCCTATCTCAAAAACAAAAAAGGCCGCTAAAGGGAGCCTGTGGCACACACGGAATACAAGAACCCTTAGCCCTTAATGTAGCCTGAGAAATTAGATCTATTCTTTTTTTTTTTTTTTTTTTTTTTTTTTTTTTT